AAGGTCACAGCTGTGAGCCCTGAGCACAGGGCACCAGGCAGGGCCAGGGAACAGGTTGCAGCTCCAATGACCCAGCCCTTCAGCAGCAGCCCCTGAGCGCCCCCTGGTGCCCAGGCCTGGATGCACCACTGTGTCCCCTGCTGACTGAGCCCATGAGAGACAGGTCCTGCCTCCCCCAGCTCTGTGCACTGACCCCCTGGCTCAGGGCGTCCAGGTGCCCCCTGAGGTGGCCTCCTCATCCCCTCAGGTCACTCTCTATGTTCCCCTCCGCCTCCTCCGGGGAGTCTGGGCCCGTCTCCCTGGCTGTTCATGGTCAGAACTGAGCTGCTGTCACTTAGGGCACTTTCCTCCCAGGATCAGGCCCAGAGCAGTGACCGTCCCTAGGAGGCGAGGTTCCTAATTTTCAGGGCACAGTTTCATTTTTTTTATGGGATTCCTCCCTTGTTAGAAATTAGTCACTCTCTTCCCAGCACACAAATATTATTCTCTCAGTGTCCTTCCCTTCTGTCCAGTAGATTATACATATTGCGTTTCTGCACATGCTTTTTGAGCAACCTTTACCTAGTAACTGGCATCCTCATTAATAGGAAACTTGAATATAATATTTCCCACTCGTCTGTTTTCTGTCCATAGGAGAGTCTGGTGTCTGATTGTCTGACTGAGACTCACTGTGACCCCAGCTCCCTGGACACAGAAGGGGAAGGGACAGTGACAGCACCACCGGGACCAGGGCCTGTGAGGGGGGGACACTAAGCGATGATTCAAGGTGACCTGGGGGAGCACTTTTGGGGATGGAAGCAGAAGGAGATGCACCGTGGGGTGTGGGGGTCGGAGATTGATTGGGGGGCCTCAGGTCCTGTCCTCCCCTGAGGAAGGGTCGGGCAAGGCAGAGGCTGCAAGGACAGGGCCTGGGGAATAGTCATGGTGGCGGGAACTACACAAGGAATGATGCCACTTCAGACAAACAAACAAACAAACCAGGTATTTCCTCCTTCTGACTCCCTACAGAGAGGTTGCCCCCTGATTTCCCCTGTTTTGCTTTTGGTTCTATAATTGCCCTCGGGCTGTGTCCACAGAGTCTATTGAATCCTGGGTGTCTCTTCCTCCCTTTGGACTAAGAAGCGTGTGCTGCTCCTCCAAGGACTGTGGGGTCGCTGTCCTCATACATCCGCCCAGAGCCCCCTCCTCTGAGCCGCCTCAGGGTTGGTGTCAGTAGATTCTCTTTTCTCCTTCAGGCTTTTAACTTCCTGGTTCCTGACATAACGAGGGGTAATTTATAGAGATTCCCAGACATTTTGAAGATGATTGGTCCCTTGCATTCTTCCTTTTTTAAAAATATGTTTTTACTGATTTCAGAGAGGAAGGGAGAGGGAGAGAGAGATTGAAACATTTATGATGAGAGAGCATATTGAGCGACTGCCTCCTGCACGCCCCCTACTGGGGAAGGAGCATTGAACCCGGGCATGAGCCTTGATCAGAATCAAATCCGGACCCTTCAGTCTGGAGGCTGAGGCGCTACCCACTGAGCCCAACCGGCCAGGACTCTCAGTCACATTTTTGCAATCAGGTCCAGGTGAGCTGGTCCTGCAGGAGAGGAGGGCACATGCCCCTCAGCTGCCCCCGGGCTGGCAGCTCCTTGTGGCAGCGGGTTTATGAAGTCACATGACAGGGACAGGCAGCCTCCTCCTCAGGCCACAGACCAGGGCTGGTCACAGGGCCCAGTGCACCAGCCAGGAGAACGGGAAGAGGGCTGACCCCAGACTGTCAATCACTTCTGTCCTAGGTCACAAGGTCCGGTAGGTGCTCTGCCTGGGAGCGTGGGGACCGTTGCTATGGGAACAGTCAGTGTGTCTGCTGACCCAGGTTCAGGAGAAGGTGACCTGGGATCTGGGCTCATCAACAGCTTCCCAGAGGGAGTGACAGGCACCTGTTGGGAAGGTCCTGCTCCCCATGGCCCACAGCCACCCACACCCTGGGGGGTAGGAAAGCCCCAGTGGGTGAGAGGAGAGGACACAGTCAGAGCCTATGGCTCAGGGAACCCCACTCACGGGAGCCCCATGGGCCTGAGTGGCATCAGCTGTGAGAGCGTCTCCCCCATAGACCCAGGCGCCCCCATCCTTCCTGGAGCAGCTCAGCATCCAGCCACCATCCAGCTCGCTCACCCTGTCGAGACCCAAAGAGGGTCCCTGGGCCCAGGCCACCCATGTCCCTCTGACAGCTCCTCTCCCCAATGTCACTGAAGGTCAGGGTCCCAGCAGAGGTGACGGCCAGCCCTGTGCCTGGGCTTCCTCCCGGGCCCGAGGCTCCCCAGCCCCTCGAAGCTGAGAGCCTGGTCCGTGTGCACAGGGCTGGGCAGAGCCTTGGGCGAGGAGCCCAGGGACTGAGGGGTCACTGCTCTGACCTCTGGGCGCGGAGCCCGTGCATTGGGGACGGGCCGCCTGCTGGGAGGTTCCTGGGCTCTGGGAACAGTTTCCAAAGCTGTTCCCTTATTTCAAGTCAGAAACAGCCATCGCACGGACCTGGGCTTCGTACCCACAGAGGACAGGCCACCTTTCAGGGACATAATGACCATTGGGTTTTGGTGTTGGATCTGTTTTCCTGAGACTCAGAGACATGGGATCAAACATGGCAAGTGACTCTTTATAAACCAGAAGGTCCTTCCCCGTGTAGTTTGCACATTGGAGTTATGTTAACAAAGTCACATGTTGGGACCCAAGACTCTGGTGGAGGCCAAGGTTTTTGTCCCACTTCCCCATCTGTGTGTGTCACTGTGGGAAGCACTACTGGTCCAGATCATACAGTAATAGTCAGCCTCGTCCTCAGGCTGCAGCCCCGAGATGGTCAGGAGCCCCGCATTGGCCGAGGCGTCTTTGGATCCAGAGAAGCGGCTGGGGACCCCGGAGCCCTGTTCCCCATCTGAGTCGGAGTAGTAGTACAGGAGGTACCGGGGACGGCTCCCTGGCTTCTGCTGCTGCCAGTATATGTTGTAGCTGCCAACACTGACATCACGGCTCAGGGTGCAGGTGAGTCTGGCCGTTGCTCCCAGAGATGCAGAGAGGGAGGGCGGCTGAGTCAGCACAGGCTGGGAGAGGGACCCTGCAGACACAGACACTCATGGGTGAGCGGACAGGAGCCCCAGGAAAGTTTATCAAGACGATGAGCAAGAGAGGAGTGATGCTGGGGGGTGAGCAGGGTCCCGAGGCCTGTCCCTACCTGTGCAGTGAGAGAGGATCACCAGGAGCAGAGGAGTCCAGGCCATGTTGCTCACAGCCCTGAGCCCACAGTGGGGCTGGGCTGCCCAGGCCTTCTTTTCTCCCCACCCTCTGCCAGAGGAGGGGCTGCCATGCAAATGGGGGTCCCTCCAGGGACTTCCCAGCCCCTCCCTGGGCCCTGGGGCTGGAGCTCAGCTCACACTCCAGACTGAGGAGCATGGAGGTGGGCTCACCCCTTGGGGGGCCCTGGGAGGAAGCACCTGCTGAGACAGCACAGAGGCTGTTGCTCAGAGGGCGCTGCCAGCACAGACACAGCTGGTCCCCATCAGGGTGCACAGGGCCCAGCCCCCAGGTCCAGGCTCCTGAGAGTGGAAAGTCCTTAGTGAGCAGCTGGGTGGGGGCCACAGAGCAACCCCACAGCGCCCCCTGCTGGCCTCAGGACACACTACATCGCCCTGGTCCAGAGCTCTGAGGCCCAGCTGGTGTCTGCTGCTCCCAGGTCACTGTCCCTGTTCCCACTTCCTGGTCTGAGTCGCACAGACAATGGCGCTCACTGCAGCGTCTCACTCCTGGGCCAGCCTGGGAGGTGCCAGCACGGACGTGACTGATAAATTAATTTGGTTTCAGTTCCAGCGAAGATGCTGCCACGTTAATGCACAGTGAGCTCTTGATCCAACATCCCAGGTGAGGACACGTCCAATGGCTTGAGGGGCTCATGGGGGCTGTTCCGGGAAACGATGGGAGTGAGTTTTCCAGGACCAGGCTCCGTGGCGTCTTCAAGGCCAGTTTAGCGACCACTGACCTCTGTGCTGCCTTCACAGCTTGCGGAGACCTGATGTACGTGAGGGAGTGGGACAGAGTAAGGGCTTCGGGGGCTCCCCGGGGACCAGGGGGAGCGGAGCGAGCCTCCTGACTGTAGACGGTGACGTGATGTCTGTGTGTGGGGCTCCCTTTACCTGTGTCACAGGCTCCTCGTCAGGCCTGGGTCTCAGGAGCCCTGAATCTCCTTTCTGGTTAAACAAACAGAAGCATCCCGGTCCTTCCTTCCTTCCTCATTGTCTGGCTGTAGGGACCCTCCCAACCCAGAGGCCACTAGGACGCCCCCAGCTGGGAGGAACCCCAGGCAGAACCCAGGGCAGAGCCACAGCCCCACCTGCTGGTCAGGGGCCCACGCGCAGTGTCATCCAGGACCCTGAGGCTAAATGCCCGGGAAGCTGTCACCAGCATTGGTCAGTGAGGAAAGGTCTTGGGTCTGATTGAAAGAATATTATTACATTCTCTGTGCTGGTAGAGGCTTACACAGGAGGGTGCGAAGGCATCCAGAAATAAACACTCTTTTGAGTATAACAGCCTCTGTCAGTCACATGAAAGAGCGACTATGTCGCTGTCGGCGACACTGGGGAGTTGGTCTCCTCTCATAACAGGCCTTTATGGTGCATCTAGAGATGTGAGTGACCTGTGTTCTCTATGCGGAGTCGCTGCAGAAGAGGCCAAATAGCATGTGAGGCTTCTCCCACCAGGAGGGGACCGGGGCTTGGGGAGCAGGAGGGATGGGGAGAGCAGCACAGCAGGTCAGAAGCCATGTGGTTGGAAAAGAACAATGTAGGGGGGAGAGGAGGAGGCGGGCTGCACGCGGCTGGGCACAGGGAGACTCTCCAGGACTGTTGACCGGAAAACACGCCGAGGGCGGAGAGGAGGAAGGACATGGAGTCACCGGGAGGGATCTGGGCTGAGTGACCGGTCAGATGGTCCCTCTTTAGTCGTAAGGATCGGGTCTTACATGGTTCCTCCCTTAACAAGGAGGTGAAGGTCTGGGAGGCAATTAGAAATACAGCCTCACACGTTCATAAAAAGTAAGCGCACACCCAGTCTTCACGTGAAATGTTACGGTGCTGAGTGTCCTAAGGGCGTTGGGGGATTTAGACACCACCAGCAGGGGCCAAGGTCAGGCAGGGAGAGCGGAGAGGAGGTTTTTGTCTCACTTCCCTGTGGGTCTGGACCACTGTGTAAGTGTCAGAGTTGCCTTCATATGTGTTACAGTAATAGTCAGCCTCATCCTCAGGCTGCAGCCCCGAGATGGTCAGGAGCCCCGCATTGGCTGAGGCATCTTTGGATCCAGAAAAGCGGCTGGGGACCCCGGAGCCCTGGAGCTTATCTGAGTCTGAGTAGTAGGCCAGGAGGTACCGGGGACGGCTCCCTGGCTTCTGCTGGTACCAGGATATCCAGTAGCTGCCAACACTGGAGCCACTGCTCAAGGTGCAGGTGAGTCTGGCTGTGGCTCCCGGAGATGCAGAGAGGGAGGGCGGCTGAGTCAGCACAGGCTGCTGGGAGAGGGACCCTGCAGACACAGACACTTGTCAGTGATGGGCAGGGACCAGGGGACGTTTCCCAGGAGACTGAGCAGGAAGGGAAGGAGCCTGGTCCCAGGCCTGTCCCTACCTGTGCAGTGAGAGAGGAGCACGAGGAGCAGAGGAGTCCAGGCCATGGTGCTCACAGCCCTGAGCCCACAGTGGGGCTGGGCTGCCCAGGCCTCCTTTTCTCCCCACCCTCTGCCAGAGGAGGGGCTGCCATGCAAATGGGAGCCCCTCCAGGGACTGCCCAGCCCCTCCCTGGGCCCTGGGGCTGGAGCTCAGCTCACACCCCAGACTGAGGAGCATGGAGGTGGGCTCACCCCTTGGGGGCCCTGGGAGGAAGCACCTGCTGAGACCACACACTGGTGCCTGCTCAGGGGGCGATGCCAGGCCACCAAGGACAGCAGGGAGCCCACAGTGCAGGTGCCTGTGTGTGAAGGTCTCTCTGAACAGCTGTGTGCTGATCACCTGGCAGTCCCACAGCGCCCCCTGCTGGTGGGAGGACACACCCTCCTCTGCCCCAAAGCCCTGACAGCCCAGCTGGCTGTGGGCTCCCAGGTCTCTGTCCCTGTTCCCACACCCACGGTCTGAGCCCAGATACTGCGATTTCATTCTCTGTATTGATCACCGTAGCATTTCCCTCTCAGGTTTGCATCTGTGTGATGAGCTTAAACATTCACAAATGACAAATGAATACGGTTTCTCTTCCAGTAAAGATTTTACAAAAGTAAGCACACAGTGAGCTTACTTTCCAACATCACAGGTGAGGGAGCTGCTCAGGTGTGATGAGCTCCTGGGGGCTGTTCAGGTCAATGACAGAGAAAGGAATTTTCCACAAATACCCTCAGGGTCACATTCAAAAAAGAACCATTCTGCAAACATTTCAAAACATGTAAGGGATCAAATCATTGTCATGTGATTTGAGTTAGTGATTCATTAACAAAAAAAAAAGGTTTGGTAGGCTCCACATTTACCAGTGGACCTTGTAGCACATCAGGTTTTTATATTTTAGGAAAAGCCTTTATATTCCAACATTTGTATGTGCTGCTTTCTGTGACCAACATTGTCTTCGTGTCCTAAAATGTGCTTATATTTTAAATTCCCTGCCTGTCCTTTCGTGCCTGTTTCCTCGTTTTCGGCACAAGCTACAGGGGATGGTGAGGAGCTGGCAGACGTGGTGACTGACACTCTCCCCACACGTAGGACGCGTCCCACAGCAGCGTGTGAGCTCCTGAGGGGGGAGGGCATTGCCCCAAAGACCAGGAGCCACACTGTGGCCCTCACTCCTCAGGGCTCAGGGTCCCTGAGAGGAGCAGCCAGTGACTCACAGGAGGAGTGAGCGTCAGAGCTCAGCACTGAGGGGGGGACAGCGGTTGTGCCCAAGGACCCCGGTGGGCGGTGCAGCCTGAGACCCGGGGCCGGGGCAGCAGGGACAGAGGGGCCTCTCTGTGCACAAAGGCCTCAGCCGCTCCCACTGAGCATCAGGGAGGAGGGCCCGGCTGGGAAGGTCCTGGACACAGTCACTGACCCTGAGAGAGACGCAGGGGCCCTCGTCGGGGTTCAGGTCTGAAGTGACCACAGATGGTCCCCAGCTCAGACCCGGGGCTGCAGGGCCAAGGGGCTCAGTGTCCCCGCTGATGGGGATGGGCCTCCTGTTCGGTGTCAGGCCTTGTGTCCAGGAAGAGGCTGCTGTGACGGCCTCTGAGGGGAGAGGAAAGGAGGCCCATTCATGCTCCAGGGGCTGCCCTGGGACCTGGCCCCTGGGGGGGGGGGGAAGGGGCTGCATAGAAGCAGAGGCCACAGGCTGAGCCTGAGAGGCAGGTGCTGGGGGCGCCCCTCCTGGCAGGTGAGAAGGGCTCCCTGTGGCCTCAGTCCCACAGGACGGGCTCTGGGTGGGCACGGGGGCTGCGGGCACAGGAGGGGCCGGGACAGGCAGCCTTGGCCTCAGTGCCCCCCCAGCGTGGCTCACGGAGCCCGAGTTGCCAGACTTGCCCCAGAGAGCAGATCAGAGACCACACAGGCACCTGCTCTCTTGCTGGATGGGGGTCCCAGGCTGTTTGGGGAGCCCCAGGTCACAGCACACACAGGGGTCATCCCTGAGGGAATCTGACGCAGACACAGCTGGACTCAGGGCCCTGGGTCTGCCCTGCCCCGTCCTGGCCGCCCCCTGACGCACAGGAAGGTCTGCTCAGGCTGAGACACGCACATCGTGTGCTGCTTCCACAGGCGGGCTTGATGGGCATGTTCAAAGGGTGAGGACAGGTTTTGCTAACACAGTCCCCGGGAGGGGCGAGGGGGAGGGGTTCTCTGCGCCTGGTTTCGGGTCACCCAGCAAAGGCGCAGCCTTCTCATCAGAGGATGGGGCTGTCCCGGGCCCCACTGTAGCGGGACAGCGGGTTTTTGTCTCACTTCCCCACAGGCCTGCAGCACCGTGGGAGTACCAAGATCATCATCGAAGGACTGGCAGTAATAGTCGGCCTCGTCCTCAGCCTGCAGCCCTGTGATGGTCAGGGTGCCTGAGCTGCCAGACGTGGAGCCAGAGAACCGGTCAGGGACCCCTGAGGGTCGGATGTTATCACCATCGATGAGGAGTTTGGGGGCCTTTCCTGGGAGCTGCTGGTACCAGTGCACATAGTTACCACCCCCAATGTTGGAGCTGCTTCCAGTGCAGGAGATGGTGACCCTCTCGCCCGGGGCCCCCGACACTGAGGATGGCTGAGTCAGCACAGACTGGGCCCAGGATCCTGCAAGAGGGGGAGACACAGACATGGTGAGTCTGGGTCTAGGGACAAGAGGAGGAAGCAGGGCCCATGTGTCTCCCCAAGGCCCCTTCCCCGTCCCTTTATCCAGTCACCTGTGCAGTGAGCCAGGAGGGTGAGGAGGAGAGGGGCCCAGGCCATGGTGGAGGTCATCCCTGAGTCCTGCTCCCTGAGGCCCCCACAGCTGAAGCAGAGCTCCCCACACCTCTCCCCTTCCCCCTCTTCATAGTCTGTGGGAGGGAGGGCCCCACTCATGCAAAATGAGGACCCCTGGTTTGATCCCTCCCTGGGCCCTGGGTCTGGTCCCTGTGCCTGAGGATGGCAGGGTGAGGGCAGGGGTGGGGCTGTGTGGGGCCCAGGGGGTGGCAAGGTCACAGCTGTGAGCCCTGAGCACAGGGCACCAGGCAGGGCCAGGGAACAGGTTGCAGCTCCAATGAGCCCAGCCCTTCAGCAGCGGCCCCTGTGCGCCCCCTGGTGCCCAGGCCTGGATGCACCACTGTGTCCCCTGCTGACTGAGCCCATGAGGGACAGGTCCTGCCTCCCCCAGCTCTGTGCACTGACCCCCTGGCTCAGGGCACCCAGGTGCCCCCTGAGGTGGCCTCCTCATCCCCTCAGGACACTCTCTATGTTCCCCTCCGCCTCCTCCTGGGAGTCTGGGACCGTCTGCCTGGCTGTTCATGGTCAGAACTGAGCTACTGTCACTTAGGGAACTTTCCTCCCAGGATCAGGTCCAGAGCAGCGACCAGCCCTAGGAGGCGAGGTCCCTAATTTGCAGGTCACAGTTTATTTTTTTTATGGGATTCCTCCCCTGTTAGAAATTAACCACTCTCTTTCCAGCACACAAATATTGTTCTCTCAATGCCCTTCCCTTCTGTTCAGTAGATTATACATATTGCGTTTCTGCACATGCTTTTCGGTCAAGCTTTACCTAGTAACTGGCATCCTCATTGATAGGGAAATTGAACATAATATTTCCCACTAGTCTGTTTTCTGTCCATAGGAGAGTCTGGTGTCTGATTGTCTGACTGAGACTCACTGTGACCCCAACTCCCTGGACACAGAAGGGGAAGGGACAGTGACAGCACCACCAGGACCAGAGCCTGTGAGGGGGGGACACTAAGCAATGATTCAAGGGGACCTGGGGGAGCACTTTGTGGGGATGGAAGCAGAAGGAGATGCACCGTGGGGTGTGGGGTCAGAGGTCGTGTGCGAGGCCTAGGGGCCTGTCCCCCCCTGAGGGAGGTGGGGGAGGCAGAGGCTCCAAGGAGAGGGGGGCAGCGTCTCCATGGCAGCCATGAGCCTGCCTCCCAGGTCCTCCCTCTGGGAAAGGGAGGCCAGGCTGTGGGGTTGGTGCTGTTTCTCACTTTCCTGGGGGAACTGGACCTCAGGTCACTGCCGCCTGATGGGAGTGGCTGCGGCTTTTATTGGACCTGAATGTGTCAGGACAATGGGGAGGTCAGGGGTCAGAGCTGGTCATGGTGAGGCAGGAACTACCTTGCAGGTTTCTCTGCTCAGTTTCCAGACCCAAATGCACTAGTGAGGAGGGTGGGGCAGAGGGAGGCTCAGGGTGCATGAGGGGAACTTCCTGTCTGTGTTCGCTCTGATCTGGACCAACACCTCCCAGCCATGGGGTCAGCAGGGCATGGAGCCCAGTTCCCGCTCCTGGGAGCTCAGAGGTCCCTGGGGATGTCCTCTCAGGAGAAAGAGCAAATCCCTGCTCTGAGCCGGTGGCCGAGCTCAAGGAGGGTCCCCAAGCCCGGCCAGGCGCTGGGGCTGCCAGGCCTCCTTTCCTCCCACCCTCGGCCAGAGGAGGGGCCGTCCCTGCAGATGTGGTCCCTCCAGGGACTGCCCAGCCCCCTGAGCCCTGGTGCTGCAGCTCAGCTCCCCCCCAGGCTGAGCAGGATGGACTGTCCTGACGGGCTGTGTCCTGGAGACGCTGCCACAAAGGCCCACAGACTGAGCCCCCCAGAGCCAGGGAGAGGGTCCCTCTCAGGGGTGGGGTTCAAGTCTGAGGTCAAGGTGCTGGCAGGGCCGCCCTCCCAGGGGGGCCCCCGGTAGGTGCTCTCTTGTCTCTTTCCAGCGTCTGGAGGCTCCGTCCAACCCTGACATGATCTCAGCTTGGGCCTCGGTCCCTGACTCTGTCCTCACAGCTGAGCCCGCGGGTCACGCGCCCAGGCCTCAGAGAGTCTGTGGGAACCTGCTCTGGGGCAGAGGGACCGGGTTTTGGAAGACACGGTGCTGTGACCCCCCCTACAGGGTCCTGCCCCCCAACCTCACACGGTGTGAAGGGGAGACGGGAAGGAAATTCTTCTGGGATGGAGGCCCCAACTGCATTTCAAAGTGGCTCCATTTGTATTGTTGTTCTACTATATTGTTAAGTTTTATCTTGATTATTAAATGCCGGCCGAGTGAAACTCACACTTGACTGTGCATGTGAGTGTGAGTGTGTGTGTGAGTGTGAGTGTGAGTGTGTGAGTGTGAGTGTGTGAGTGTGAGTGTGACTTTTCCTTTTGCTGCCCCTGTCCATTTCCTGTGAGACTGTTGCTTATACTGACTCTCACAGCTGAGAATAATTAATGCGATTGCCTGGTCCGGGGACTCGGAGAACAGCCCTCAGAGCCACCCCAGCGGGACGCAGCCCCGTGAACAGCAGACGGGGCCCCAGAAGCAGAGGGTTCCCTGAGCCCTGTGTTTGTGCCCCACTTCCCCGCCCGCACCTGTCACTGTGGGGACGGCCGCTGTACCCCAGGGCACAGTAGTACTCGGCCTCGTCCTCAGGCTGCGCCCCTGAGAGGGTCAGGGCAGCTTTGCCCCCTTGGATGGAGCCTGAGAACCGGGCGGGCGTCCAGGAGAGTTTATTGCTTGTGTCATAAATGAGTGTCCTGGGGACCTGGCCGGGCTTCTGCTGGATCCAGTACGGATAGTGACCGCTGGTGACCTCTCCAGTGTTAGTGCTGCAGGTGAGAGTGACCGTCACGCCTGGGACCACGCTCTCTGAGGGCTCCTGAGTGACCACAGCCTGAGACCTGGACCCTGAAATAGACACAGACATGATCAGGAATGAAGAATAAAGGCAGAGGGGCCCCTCCACGGGCTGGTCTCTGAAATGGCCCTGAACCTGGGCAGAGAGCGAGGATGAGGAGGAGGAGGAGGGGAGTCCAGCTCATGGTGGAGATGGTGAAGACTTTCCAAGGTGCCTCGGTCTCTTGCAGGTGCTGGTCTCGGGTGTCCCTTTATCTTCTCCCGGCCTCCTGGGCACAGGGGGTGTTTGCTGGTCATTATGCAAATGTGAGCCCACAGGACCCTCCCGTCCTGGGTCCTGGGCCCAGTTTGAAGCTTCACTGTGAGGAGGAGGCTGGGGAGGCTGTGGGCTCTGAGTCTGTCCCTTGAGGGGAAGCACCTGCTGTCACCTCACACCCAGGCCATGGGCATGGGCGCAGGGCCCACTCAATGAGAACCATGTGAGATAGCTTCAAGCCTTGCAGCTCTGAGAAGAGCCACAGCGCCCCCTGGTGACGCCCTGGTGAATAGTCATGGTGGCGGGAACTACAGAAGGAATGATGCCACTTCAAACAAACAAACCAACCAGGTATTTCCTCCTTCTGACTCCCTGCAGGGAGCTTCCCCCCTGATTTCCCCTGTTTTGTTTTTGGTTCTATAATTACCCTTGGGCTGTGTCCACAGAGTCTATTGAATCCTGGGTGTCTCTTCTTCCCTTTGGACTATGAAGCTCAAAGCTGCTCCTCCATGGACTATGGGATCGCTGTCCTCATACATCCGCCCAGAACCCCCTCCTCTGGGTCACCTCAGTGTTGGTGTCAGTAGATTAAAATTCATCCTTCACGTGTTTAACTTCCTGGTTTTTGACATAATGAGGGGTAATTTACACAGAATCTGGACATTGTGAAGATGCTATGAGGAGCCTCTGGGTGCCTTTCATTCTCCCTTTTTTTAAAAAAAAAATATATTTTATTGCCTTTTATTTTACAGAGAGGAAGGGAGAGAGATAGAGAGTTAGAAACATCGATGAGAGAGAAACATCGATCAGCTGCCTCCTGCACACCCTCCACTGGGGATGTGCCCGCAACCAAGGTACATGCCCTTGACCAGAATCGAACCCGGGACCCTTCAGTCCGCAGGCCGACACTCTATCCACTGAGCCAAACCGGTTTCGGCCATTCTCCCTTTTTTTTTAATAAAAATACATTTTTGTTGATTTGAGAGAGTGAGATGAAGATAGAAACATCAGTGATTACAGCGAATCATTGATCGGCGCCTCCTGCATGCCCCTTACAGAGGATGGAGCCTTCACCCGGGCCTGTGCCTTGACCAGAATCAAACCCGGAACCCTTCAGTCAGGAGGCCGAGGCTCTATCCACTGAGCGAAACCAGCCAGGGCTGTCAGTCATATTTTTGCAATCGGGTCCAGGGTGAGCTGGTCCTGCAGGAGAGGAGGGCAGGTGCCTACTCTCCCGCCCCAGAGCTGGAGCTCCTCCTGGGAGCGGGTTTAATAAGTCACGTTACCGCGATTGGCAGCCTCCTTCTCAGGCCAGAGACCAGGGGTGGTCACAGAGGCCCTGTGAGCCTGGCTGGTAGGGCTCAGTGGTTGAGCATGAACCCAGAAACCAGGGGTCACAGTTCAAGTTCTGGTCAGGGCACAAGTCCCAGTTGCGGGCCCCATTCCCAGTATGGGGCATGCAGGAGGAAGGCGATCATTGACTCATCATTGATGTTTCTATTTCTCTCTCCCTCTCCCTTCCTCTCTAAATAAAAAATATATATTTTTTAAAAATACATGAAAAATATGTATTACAAAAAGAAGCCACGTGCACAAATGAAGAGCAAGTGAAGAGAGCTGAGCTGTGGACTGTCAATCTCCTCTGTCCTAGGTCACAAGGTCCGGTAGGTGCTCTGCCTGGGTGCTGTGGGGACCGTTGCTATGGGAACGGTCAGTGTGTCTGCTGACCCAGGTTCAGGAGAAGGTGACCTGGGATCTGGGCTCATCAACAGCTTCCCAGCGGGAGTGACAGGCACCTGTTGGGAAGGTCCTGCTCCCCATGGCCCACAGCCACCCACACCCTGGGGGGTAGGAAAGCCCCAGTGGGTGAGAGGAGAGGACACAGTCAGAGCCTGTGGCTCAGGGAACCCCACTCACGGGAGCCCCCATGGCCCCGAGTGGCCTCAGCTGTGAGAGCGTCTCCCCCATAGACCCAGGCGCCCGCATCCTTCCTGGAGCAGCTCAGCATCCAGCCACCGTCCAGCTCGCTCACCCTGTCGAGACCCAAAGAGGGTCCCTGGGCCCAGGCCACCCATTTCCCTCCGACAGCCCCTCTCCCCAATGGCACTGAAGGTCAGGGTCCCAGCAGAGGTGACGGCCAGCCCTGTGCCTGGGCTTCCTCCTGTGTCACAGTAATAGTCGGCCTCATCCTCAGGCTGCAGCCCTGAGATGAGCAGGAGCCCTGCATTGGTCTAGGCATCTTTGGATCCGGAGAAGCAGCTGGGGATCCCGGAGCCCTGGCCCTTATCTGAGTCTGTGTGGAAATTCAGGAAGTACCGAGGAGGGCTCCCTGGCTTCTGCTGGTGCCAGGTTATCCTGTATCCACCAACATTGAGACCGCTGCTCAGGGTGCAGGTGAGTCTGGCTGTGGCTCCCGGAGATGCAGAGAGGGAGGGCGGCTGAGTCAGCACAGGCTGGGAGAGGGACCCTGCAGACACAGACACTTGTCAGTTATGGGCAGGGACGGCTCCCTCAAAGCTGAGATCCTGGTCCCTGAGCACAGGGCTGGGCAGGAGCTTTGGGCGAGGAGCCCGGGGAGTGAGTGGTCGCTGCTCTGACCTCTGGGCGCTCTCAGTCCATGCTCCGGGCACGGGCCGCCTGCTGGGAGGATCCTGGGCTCTGGGAACAGTTTCCAAAGCTGTTTTCCTTATTTCAAGTGCGAAACAGCCATCGCACGGGACTTGGGCTTCTTACCCATGGATGACAGGCCACCTTTCAGAGACATAATGACCACTGAGTTTTCGTGTTGGTTCTGTTTTTCTGAAACTCAGAGACATGGGATCAAACATGGAAAGTGACTCTTTATAAACCAGAAGGTCCTTCCCCGTGTAGTTTGCACATGGAATTTATGTTAACAAGGTCACATGTTGGGACCCAAGACTCTGGTGGAGGCCAAGGTTTTTGTCCCACTTCCCCATCTGTGTGTGTCACTGTGGGACCATTATTGTACCAGATCAGACAGTAATAGTCAGCCTCGTCCTCAGGCTGCAGCCCCGAGATGAGCAGGAGCCCCGCATTGGCCGAGGCGTCTTTGGATCCAGAGAAGCGGCTGGGGACCCCGGAGCCTTGGCCCTTATCTGAGTCAGTGTGGTAGTTCAGGAGGTACCGGAGAGGGCTCCCAGGCTTCTGCTGGTGCCAGTTTATCCTGTATCCACCAACATTGAGGCCGCTGCTCAGGGTGCAGGTGAATCTGGCTGTGGCTCCCGGAGATGCAGAGAGGGAGGGCGGCTGAGTCAGCACAGGCTGCTGGGAGAGGGACCCTGCGGACACAGACACTTGTCAGTGATGGGCAGGGACCAGGGGACGTTTCCCAGGAGACTGAGCAGGAAGGGAAGAAGCCTGGTCCCAGGCCTGTCCCTACCTGTGCAGTGAGAGAGGAGCGCGAGGAGCAGAGGAGTCCAGGCCATGGTGCTCACGGCCCTGAGCCACAGTGGGGCTGGGCTGCCCAGACCTCCTTTTCTCCCCCACCCTCTGCCAGGGGAGGGGCTGCCATGCAAATGGGGGTCCCTCCAGGGACTGCCCATCCCCTCCCTGGGCCTTGGGGCTGGAGCTCAGCTCATACCCAGACTGAGGAGCTTGGAGGTGGGCTCACCCCTTGGGGGCCCTGGAGGAAGCACCTGCTGAGACCACACAAAGGCTATTGCTCAGGGGGCGCTGCCAGCAAAGACACAGCTGGTCCCCATCAGGGCGCACAGGGCCCAGCCCCCAGGTCCTGGCTCCTGTGAGTGGAAAGTCCTTAGTGAGCAGCTGTGTGGGGGCCACAAGGCGATCCCACCGCGCCCCCTGCTGGCCTCAGGACACACTACATCGCCCTGGTCCTAAGCCCTAAGCCCAGCTGGTGTCTGCAGCTCCCAGGCCACTGTCCCTGTTCCCACTTCCTGGTCTGACTGGCACAGACGCTGGCGCTCACTGCAGCTTCTCACTCCTGGGCCAGCCTGGGAGGTGCCAGCACGGACGTGACTGAGAGGTGCTGGTCTGGGAGGCGGTTAGAAATGCGTCCTCCCCAGGAGCGTCCTGGCGACATGGGTGGGATGCCGGAACAGACTTGCTTCTGCCACCATCTGAAACACCCGCCAGCCAGGCTTCAGAGCGACCCAGAGGTGCCTCTTCGGCGTGGCCATGGACACTCCCTGCCAGCTGACAGGATGAGCGCTCGTGTCCAAGGTGACCCAGCGGGTGATGGCGAGAACTGTAAGCAGCATGTTGACTGTTGTCCTTGTTGCTGTGGGACTGGCACCAGGAGATGGAAAGCTGGAGACCTTAATCCCGAAGCCCTGGACGTGCCGTTGCGAGGCCTCCTCCAGGGCTCCCATATGTTTCTATTTTACTTACTATCGTAGCGTAGATTTAAAATGTATTCATTAAAAATAGTCTTTTTTTTTAGATTTTAGGCAACATAGAAATTTGTTAAGTATGTAGTTATTACTTTATGTACCTTTGTTTCCCCTTTAATTTTACCCTGCCCCATGTCATCTAATGTCTTCTTATTTTTCAATTAGATTACATTCAATATTACTTTGTATTAGTTTCAGGTATACTCAAAAGTAAAGTGTCCCCTCAATGTTTCGGGTACCCACCAGGCCCCATGTATACGGATCACAGTACAAACCGACTGTACTCCCTACGCTATCATCTACTAATAGAGTTAGTGCGCGCCCTCGTGGTGCTGCTCAGGCATTGTAGACAAGTAGTGTTTTAGGCGCTTACACCGGCCACGCATCTTCTCTGCATTAAACATGCTTTTATATTATTCCTTTTGAATTTACTCAACTAACTTGTTGAAAAAATTCCAATGAATTGGAATTACTCCGGCTAAAAATACTCAATTTATATATAGACTCAGAAGTTAGCTTTCCCCTCATTCTAGGTCCTCCTCTTTATTCTGCCTCCCCCTGTTTGAGACTTCACACTGCACAACACTGTTCAAAGCTGTAGACTATTAGGTGTCACTGTCTTTATTCTGCTCACTGACCCCGCAGAGAAGCCATTCTCCATCACTGCTCAGCAAAATCGTATATGCTCACTGCTTAATCATCACTTGTACTTTTTCATTTCATTTTTCCAGCTTCCTTGCATTATTATAGTGTCACTGGATTTTAAGAGCTTGTTTATAACTAAAGATGTTAACCATTTCTCATGCATTGCAAATGATATACCATGTTTTTTGTTACTATTTTACTCTGCTGTTTTACTTTTTGGTTGTATCAAACTTGTGCATTAAATATAATCATATTCTGTTTTAAAAAAAAAAAAGAAATGCGGCCTCACACGTTCATAAACAGTCAGCTGAGCCCCAGCCTTCAGGGGAGACGTTATGGTGCTGAGAGTCCTGAGGGCGCTGGGGGACTGAGAAGGGACATGAGCCTGGGACACAGCCCTGGGCTCCTCCCTCTTCACAGACGGGAGGGGCTCCTGACACGCACGTCACTCATTCAGTCTGTCTCTGTGGACGCGCTCATCCATCTAAGGCAGTGACCGGCAAACTGCGGCCCCTTGAATGTGGCTCTTCCACAAAATACCACGTGCGGGTGCACACGTACAGTGCGATTGAAACTTCGTGGCCCATGTGCAGAAGTCGGTATTTTGTGGAAGAGCCACACTCAAGGGGCCAAAGAGCCGCATGAGGCTCTCAAGCCCCATTTTGCCGACCACGGGTCTAAGGAATGGGGGGTGTTGGCTGATGATGCAGTGCCTTCTGCGTTGGGCCCTTTGTGATGAGCTGGGTGTGGGTTCAGGGGGAGCAATCTCTTCGTCGTCCCCATGCAATGGCCACAGAAAGAACTGAAGACACTGAATGCGTGTGTCGGGGGGAGGCAACATTGGCAGATCAATGGACGGCACAAGCCACATCAATACCTGTTTGGGGGCATTTGTGTGATAATAGGCCTGGCCCTTTAAGAACACAGCCATGGGATGTGGGTTACACCTTAGACACCAGCCTTCCTTTCCAGGCCCCTGGAGACACGCTGGGGAAGCCCCAGAAGATCTTCCTTCTGGTTCCAGGATGGACCCTCCCTCAGAGCAGGGCCTGCAGGCACCATAGAGTCCCTCAGGCCCTCCCCACCCAAGTCTGCAGAGGGCGCTCCTGACCTTGGGGTGAGGACAGTGACCTTCCTCCTCCAGAGGCTCAGCTGTGCTCTGCTCTGTCTGTCCTGCCCCCAGGGAAGCTGCCAGAACCTGTGACCTCCTGCTGCCCCGGGGGTGTGGGTGGGAGACGGCAAGGAGAGGAGCTGCCAACTCATTTCTCTTGTGCTCACTGAACAGGATCCTCTGAAATGTAACGATGATGATGATGATAATCCAACCTGGAGTCAGCACCTCCCGGGAGAGACTGGGAGCCCAGGAAGGGGACTCACACCCCCGGGGCTGTGCTGGGAGGAGGGCGGGGCCCTGGGGTGGGCTGGTCAGTGATGCTCAGCCTCATCCTCAACCTGTGACAGGGGCCTCTGGGGTAGCTGACATGGCGACCAAAATGAGAACCAACATTCCTGTCTGTTTTTATATATATTTTTATTGATTTCAGAGAAGTAATAGGCAGAGAGAGGGAAAGAAACATCAATGATGACAGAGGATCATCGACTGGCTGCCTCCAGCACACCCCCCACTGGGTTCATGCATGTAACCTGGGCATGTGCCCTGACCCGGGATACAACCCTGACATCCTGGTTCACAGGTCAACACTCAACCACTGGGCCCTGCCAGCCGGGCTGAGGATCCCCATGTCCTGAGGATGTGGTTGTGTCATGGGTGCAGAGTGTTGCTGAGATGTCACCGGTGCTGATGGATGAAAATGACGCCTTTCTCCCCAGTGCTGCTGCCTGGGCTGGGGTTACTAGGCCTGGGCTGTCTGTCCTGGTCCCGGTCCCTGGAGGAGCTGGAGGAGCAGGGGAGCTGCAGGGACCCGTGTGCACAGGCAGGGTCCACGCTGCAGGGCATGGGGCAGGGCTGGTGGAGTGCCCGCATGAGCATGACCATCTGGGACCCTGTCCTGGGTCCTGTTTAATCGTGAGGACAAGGGAGACCCAGGACCTGATGGAGACACCCTGACACCTGGTCCTTTGGCCCCGGAGCTAAGTTCTAGCGGCCTCGCATCACAGCCAGACGTATCCTCAAGGAGCTCATATGCATGTGCCTAGAGATAGGATGTTGTTATTTTCAAATTTTGATAGTTCCCTGGTATTATATATACTGCCTCACACGTTCATAAAAGTTCATAAAAAACCAACCTTCATTTCAGTAGGTTGGTTTTTAATGCAAAATTCAGATTTGAGCCCTCAGACCAGGATCCTCTCTCAGTCATTGCTTGACTCTGAGCTGAGCTTGGCCTGAATGAATCTGATTCAACCTCCTCCAGTGTCTCCATGGGAACCTTCATCCCTGAGGAATGTTACCTGTGGGAACGTGAACATGGCGCACATTCCATGAGCAACAAATCAATGGAAACGCTGACCTGATGCCAAAGCTGTGACCCTGTCAGGACCTCGGGTCCAAGCACCACACGGTGCCGGATGGACACCTATCAGCACAGTCACGGCTGAGCCAGACCTGGGCGGAGCCGCCAGCAGGGGCCAAGGTCAGGCCAGGAGAGCGGAGAGGAGGTTTTTGTCTCACTTCCCTGTGGGTCTGGGCCACTGTGAGAGTCTTAGAGCTGCTGTCCCATGTGTCACAGTAATAGACAGCCTCGTCCTCAGGCTGCAGCCCCGAGATGGTCAGGAGCCCCGCATTGGCCGAGGCGTCTTTGGATCCAGAGAAACGACTGGGGACCCCAGAGCCCTGGCCCTTATCTGAGTCTGAGTAGAATTTCAGGAGATACCGGGGAGAACTCCCTGGCTTCTGCTGGTACCAGCGTATCCAGTAACTGCCAACACTGAAGCCACTGCTCAGGGTGCAGGTGAGTCTGGCTGTGGCTCCCGGAGATGCAGAGAGGGAGGGCGGCTGAGTCAGCACAGGCTGGGAGAGGGACCCTGCGGACACAGACACTTGTCAGTGATGGGCAGGGACCAGGGGACATTTCCCAGGAGACTGAGCAGGAAGGGAAGAAGCCTGGTCCCAGGCCTGTCCCTACCTGTGCAGTGAGAGAGGAGCACGAGGAGCAGAGGAGTCCAGGCCATGGTGCTCACAGCCCTGAGCCCACAGTGGGGCTGGGCTGCCCAGGCCTCCTTTTCTCCCCCACCCTCTGCCAGGGGAGGGGCTGCCATGCAAATGGGGGTCCCTCCAGGGACTGCCCAGCCCCTCCCTGGGCCCTGGGGCTGGAGCTCCACTCACACCCCAGACTGAGGAGCAAGAAGGTGGGCTCACCCTTTGGGGGCCCTGGGAGGAAGCACCTGCTGGGACCACACACAGGTGCCTGCTCAGGGGGCGCTGCCAGGCCACCAAGGACAGCAGGGAGCCCACAGTGCAGGTGCCTGTGTGTGAAGGTCTCACTGAATAACTGTGCTGATCACCTGGCAGTCCCACAGCGCCCCCTGCTGGTGGGAGGACACACCCTCCCCTGCCCCAAAGCCCTGACAGCCCAGCTGGCTGTGGGCTCCCAGGTCTCTGTCCCTGTTCCCACACCCACGGTCTGAGCCCAGATACTGGGATGTGAGTCTCTGTATTGATCACCGTAGCATTTCACTCTCAAATCTGCATCTGTGTGATGAGCTTAAACATTCACAAATGACAAATGAACATGGTTTCTCTTCCAGTAAAGATGCTGCACAAATAAATGCACAGTCAGCCTCTTGTCCAACCTCACAGGTGAGGGAGCTGCTCAGGTGTGATGAGCTCCTGGGGGCTGTTCAGGTCAATGAAGGAGAGAGGAACTTTCCAGAAATACCCTCAGGGTCACATTCAGAGGAGGACCATTCAGCAAACATTTCAAAGCCTGTAAGGCATCAAATCATTGTCATCTGATAGGAGTTAGTGATTCATTATGAAAAAACGCAGTTTCATCGGCTTCACATTTACCAGGGGAGCTCGCAGCTCGTGGGAGTTGTTGAATTTAAGGAATTGACTTTATATTCTTCCATCTGTATGCTCTGCTGGTCTGTGTCTCGTGTGTCTTGAACCGATTTTCTCTTTGGTGGGCTAACGTGTGTTATATGTTGAAATCCCCGTGTGCATTTCCTGACTTGTTTTCTCATTCGGGGAAGAAGCTGAATGTGGCCTGTGCTGTGTGTGCGGATGTGGGGAAACCTGGGCAGTGAGCGCAGAAGCCACCCCTCCTCCCCGAGCCCGAATCTGCCTCGGCCTCAACTGCAGATGCTCCCGTGGTCCCCACACTGAGGCTCACGCGGATGCTGGTCGATGCCAGTGACCAGGAAACCGCGTCCCTGGGCGCTCTCTCCTCAGACACTAGAGCCTGGTCCCTTCTGCTCAGGCCGGTCCCCCCGGCCCAGAACCCTCAGTGCGTCCCCCTGCTCCTCCCCTCCACCTCCAACTCCCCAGCTGCCCTCAGGGCCCCCCGTGTGCTGGCTCTTCCTCCATGTCCAACTGGTGCCCTGCAATGCCCAGCTCCCCCAGCGCCCTGGCTGCCCTGTTACTGCAAAACCTCAGTCCCTGTCCCTTCAGGTCCTCCTACTATCCACAGGTCCTCTGGGTCCCTTCATGGTGAGGCTGTCTCTATCAAGCATCTTGGGAAGGTGGTCGTGTTCTCTATGTAACTCCTCGTGATAAACACGGAATGACTTCATCCTGGAATTCTTTGACGCAGCAAAACCCCAGCAGTCAGCAGCCACACGGGGCCCAGCAGAAGTCTGGCCGAGCCCCAGGGCACTGACTTATGACAGAAAAAAGAGACCACCTGGACCCCCGCCCGGTTCTCAGGCTCCATCCAGGGGGGCACAGCTGCCCTGACCCTCTCAGGGGCCCAGCCTGAGGGCCAGGCCAGAACACTGCCCCCTACTGGTCTCTGATGCAGCGCCCACCAGCCCCTCCCCACCCCAGCCTCCCAGAGGGCACCCTGACTTTGCACTTGGATCCCTGTGATGTCACCTCCCAGCACAGAAGCAGTCGCTCACTCCCTGGGCTGGGGCCTCAGGCACTGGCTCCTGAGAACTAAGGGGCCGGGCTGCTGCGAGCAGGACGCGTTCCCAGCTCCCCCGCGGCCAGGCATCTGGGCCGACCTGGCGGCGTCTTTAGCTTCGGCCACTTGTGCGGTGCCTTCCCCATGGAGGACCCTCTGGACCAAGGTCAAGGCTCAAACCCCTACTCGGCACTCGGCCAGTTCACACCGAGGAGGAGCCATGTGAGTCGCCCTCACAAGGTGGCGGGTGTTGTTGTCATTGTTGTTGGGAGAGACCCTGTGCGACCCTCCCCCTGCCCGGGTCCCGGCTCTTCAGGTCTGTCTCAGTCACTGCATGTAACACCAACTCAGAAACGGTGTTCGCTTCTCCGTTTTCCACACTCAGCTTTACTTTTTCCTCTCAGCTTTATCCTCCAGGAGCTCACATGCATGTGGCTACAGATAGGATGTTGTTATCTTTACATGTTGATAGTTCCCGGCTGTTATACAGACTACACTTCATTGCTGCAGGTTGGTTTTAATGCAAAATTCAGATTTGAGTCCTCAGACCAGGATCCTCTCTCAGTCACTCCTCCACTCGGATCTGAGCTTGGCCTGAATGAATCTGATTCAACCTCCTCCAGTGTCTCCATGGGAACCTTCATCCCTGAGGAATGTTACCTGTGGAACGTGAACATGGCCCACATTCCATGAGCAACAAATGATGAAACGCTGACCTGACGTCAAAGCTGTGACCCTGTCAGGACCC